TTCCCTATTCATTCATGAAGAATAGAATTTTGCTTTGTCTGTTCTCTGTGCAAGATGCATGACATTTGCATTAGTTCTTGATACGCTAGAACTGAGAGCACAAGTATTCGCACTCTATTTTAGTTTTTCTAGCTGTAAGTTTATGGAACAAATGTTTGGCAAAAGGTTTATACAAAATTTGAAATCACAACAAAATTACAAAATCTGAATTCAAATAAAACGCATGCTGGATGTAGACAGTCATGTTTTAATCATTTTCTAAGAGTTTGCATGTTGAGGCAATTTGGTTTGCTGAAAGACATTGTCTGTTTGATTTATACAAGTCATTGCAAAGTTATGATGTCCAACTCCCAAACCCCTTCTTCCTCTACACATTTCCATCATCTTACCGTAAAGAATTTGGAGACAAAGCAAATATCGATTGCATACAACGAATAAACTCGCTATGCAGTTTTCCAGAAACTTTGAGAGCATAATAGTCTAGGTGTAGGTGTAGTCATCGTCTGCACATTAAGATACTACCTTGTAGATTAAATATGTTTGGTCGGTGTGTGTCCACACTCTTTTTAAACGCTTATGAACACATCCGTACAACTACGGAAGCTAGAATTGAGTGAGACCGCACCCAATGTGTTAAAATTTGAAAGCTCAGATTTCTATTAGGAAAGAAAAGCGTTTGGAAATTCGTTTTAGAATGTGTCGTTACATATTACCTGGAAGAAGTGTGCGTAAAGAAAACTTCCTAGATGTAGGTACACAAGAAGTTTAGAGCTCACATGTAGGTCATTTTAAAAGTAGAAAAAACATGCAAGAATTGGATGTTTCAGAGAAGCTTTAGCACTCAAAATGTCCTTCTATGAAGTTTCCTCATCTTATCTGTAACAGAACGATGTGTTTGCTTTTAAGCGCTTTATCTGCTACAGTACGGTTTTGTTATTATTAAATATCTCTGTTGAGACGAGAATAAAGGACATTGCTTTGTCTCTTAAAATGTTTACTGCCGGATATTAATATATATTGGGAGACATACGTGCTGTATCATAAGTGCAATTCAGCCTTAATTCCATTCATTTATTCATAATTCATTCAATGGAAAGTTAGATGAGTTCTCAGTTTTAATTGGACTGAAGCTCATCGTAAAGAAGTAAACAAGGAATAATTTCC